AAAGAGCCAGTTTATTCCTCCATGAGGGCCTCTGTCTGACTGAGATCTTCTAAAACAGCACTCTTATTTTGTGATGTCTCAGGTCCCACCACTCTTCCTTACAAAGATCCTGTTGCACAGGTCAAGAGATCACAGGTCTCACACCCATAGACACCAAGCAACGCAGGCTGACGCAGCTCGCACGGACCTCTGGCAAATGACGCAAAGGTGGTGCGTTTTCTTACATCTTCTGAAAGTGTGAGAAGTGATGGGATTAACAGGGATGATTCAGACGCTGCAAGAATCGTTCCTGTTCACAAGGAGCCACACTTGAGGTGCAGTTAAACCCAGCGGGCTATTCTGTCATCATTTTAGGCCAACAAGATATCTACATTAAGCCTGAACTCAAAAACTTTATTCCCCTGCTCCCAGTTGTACGATAGACACTGTGGCAGAAACGCTACTGTGAGGACTGGAGTGCTGGTACTGGTTCTGAGGGAGCTTTCCTCCTGTAGCTACACTCATCCCCTCAGCTGCCACATGTTCCTGTGTTCAGCTGCAGAGATCGATCCACTTACGCTGCCGCCTCCCTGCTGTAATCCAAAATAGACCCAGCACAACTTCCCTAGGGCATGGATGAGCCGAGATCCACGCCGCTGTCACACAGGACATGTTGGATCTCCCTCTAAGTCCTCCTCCAATTATGCCAGCTAATAACTATGTTCATCGGAACTAAGGTGCATTGATACATATTATTAGTGTTACTATGGTTTCAATCTCTCAAAAAATAACTGCTGGGGCTTCAAACATCCCACTCAGCCAAGCCATGCCAAGTTTCACTTCAATCAAACCACACAGACGTTTTGACTTTGTCTAGAACTTTTATTTCAAGGAGTAGAATTGTTTTGAGCATATTCACAAGAATAAATATAAAATTACTCTTCAGAGTAAGAAGATGAGTTTTTATAAAAATATATCTCTATCCCACAGAACCCCTTAGGTGAGGTTCTCATTAGGAAATATTATTTAATAAAAAAATAAAACACTGAAAATAAAATGCTTGACCTATACTAATTTGATCACCAAACAACTGAAATTTTTAAAAGGATATAAATATTGTAAATATTTTTAATAAAAATAACATTTAAATAGATGGGAAGGCACCGAGTCCATCCAGGTGAACAGAACACTGTAGGAAGCCACCGTTTCTTCTACAGGGCACCAACTTCCTTGTATTCGCTGGCGTTCATTTGTCTCTTCTTGTTTCGGTACCTGGAAATAGAGAAGTGTGAGTTCTGGAAAGCCAGTTGTTCCAAATGGCTTTTTGGGGAGTGAAGGGAGGAGGGGGGGGAAATGAAGGAAGGAAAAAAGTGCTGTATGACCTCCTCACATGTGCTTTAAACTTCTAGCAGCTAGGCTCTGTCTGTGCTCATTTCCAGGTCTGAGATAACTTGCATGCAGAGTCTCATTTCTCAACTCTTCACTGGAGATTTCACATCTGCATTAAAGTCTTGCTGCTGGTACTAGGTTTGTCTTTGAGAAATCCTGATGGATCCTTCCCTGCAATAGGGCTGATCACCCTAACCAGCTAGGCCATCTTCTGTTTGAGAAGACGCACCATGGAGGCTTCAGGTAGGGAAGAGGAATTCCAGTTGTTACCTTCTAGCTATCAGATCTGTGAAGCTGAGCTCTCCCTCTGGGGCTTGTTCCACCTTCTCAGCTCTCTGACAGCTGCTTATGATTAGTTATTAGCCTGAATTTTGCTGCTTGTGGGTCTGTTAATAGAGAAGACTACTGTCCTCCACAGTACAGCTGATAAGGCAATGCTTGCGATATCACAGTCACCACAATAACATGACAGATAAACAACTTAATTAGTATTAATCCAGTTGCTCTCCAGTTCCTGATGACTGGGGAAATGGCATTACCAAGAAACAGAAATAGAATTTTCCTGTTGCCTGTCTGCTCTCTCCTTTACCTCAACACACCCTCCAAACAGATGTGAACTAACCCCTACAGGTCCTCTGTCAGTGTTAAAAGGCATCTGAGGGTCCTGTTGCCTAGCCTGCAATTTGGGTTATGCTATGCAGTCAGCACACCTCCCTTTTGGAGCACTTCACTAAGTGCAGGCTAGCAGCTCTGTATATCAAATCATCTCCACGCAGTCAAGCGAGGTAAGTATCCCAGTCTATGTGGAGATACTGAGTGCACATCTTACTACACATACAGCTGACTCGCCTTCCTGAGCCACGAAGAAAATCCTTCTTACCTTCTGCAGATGTAGTAGCTTGCAATGGAGATGGCAGCGAGGAAAAGCAGAACGACGATAACGGTCAGTGCCACGTACTGCTTACTGAGGGGTTGTCTGACAAGTTCTGAATGCACACACCGGACACCAGAGAATCCCACGTCACACCTGAGGATGAGAGATGCAAAATTAAAGACATCATCCTGGGGTTACACTTCAGCAGTCCACAAAGCATGCTATACTGCTGGCTTGCTCTTTCCTCAAGGGCAAGCAATTTGAACTGATGTAACTCAAGCCCATATGGTCCTAGAAATGGTTGCAAATTCTTCAAGTAAATGAGGAATATCCTTAAAAATGCCTAGACGGTCTTTATGTTGTAGACTGGATCAAAGGAGAGACATTGCTGCTTTGTCTGAGGTCTGGATCTCACAGTACTATAAACACAGATGAACAGGGAAGCACATCACAATGAGTGTCCCAAGTTTAAGCTGGGTTGCTGACTAATTTCAGGTGTCTAAGACTCTCAGCCAGGTTGCTCTGGAGCCACCACAGTTGCTTAACACTTGCCTAAATGCAGCTGTGATGTATAACAGATATACTACTCCTCTAAGTTTTTGTGAGCACTTAAATACTTTGCTGGATTGGTGTTCCAGCTAAGTGTCAACAGCAGTGAGATCAAAGGCCACGTACGGTTCATCTCAAAGCCCACCTCAGGGAGGTCGGCAGGACACGTTCCGCACTGTCCATACCTGCAATAGTGCTCATCCAAGTCCACTACGTACACGCACTGTCCGTGGAAGCAGTAGTCCTTCATTTCAGGCTTGCATCTAGTTATCCCAACTTGAGCCACACGTGGACTGTTCTCTGTCTGGACTGCAAGGAGATTTTGTTAGCAACTCATCAGCCTTATTTTCCCTTTGTATTTCCCAAACAATGTACAAGCTTTACAAGTATAACTAACAGATTTGCTACCAAGAGACTTCCAATGCAGTAGGCATTAAAGCAGGTGAGCCTTCTGAACAGGGAGAGGATTTTCCCAGGCTGGAGTTATATTGATTCATCTTTTGGGAGTTCCACATAAACTATTCCTGCTTTTACAGCAGAGTTCTCGCCTCAGACAGAGCTCTTCTGCTAAAGAAGCAACGTTAAATGAACTGCAGGTTAAAAAGTGGTTCTTGTTCAACAACACTGAGCACTTTGCAGGATGTTGGCAACGTTGCTCAACAGAGAAATGATTTCTAAGGGCACCTCAGTGAGGCCACCAGCCCAATGAAGATGGGAACCAAGGACTTTGTTATTTACAAGAAGAGCTGAGCAGTACACTTACTTAGTGCTGTTGTGCAGTTCTCCATTTCACCAGGCCCACATAATGGGATCACTGTTGTGCCCAGGACTGCTTGCAATAGGTAACCTACAAGAGAATAAAAAGAAGAGTCAAAACCAGATGCTTTTCAAGTATAGTTAAGTATTTCAGCTGGTGTACTCATTAAATTAATACAAGAAGAATAGAAGTTCTTTATCTTGGTAGGAAAAATCCAGTGTTGTAAGCTGAAAAAATATAGGTCTGAGAGATCCGCTGCCTGTATCATATCTAAGGCAGTCCGAAGAAAGATCTCTGAAATACAAACTTTTAATGTAGAACAGATATCAAACAGAAACTTGGTGTCTGTGACCACCTCTCACCCACACTCTGAGTGAAACTGGGCAGGAAGAGGCTTAGAGAGATCACAAAGGAGAGGCAGAAATTAAGCCAACTCTGATCATGTTAGATTTTTTTACTAGTCTGGCTTAGCACCTGTGCAAGGGACACAGCCAAGGTTCCACAATTAGTCATGGCAATCCAGCATTCATCCCAGGAATTATTCTTTTGGTAATCAAAATCAAGATGTCCTTGAGTCACACAGTCCCTGGGGAGAGAATTTCCTAGGACTCAGCAAGTTAGTGCAGCTGATGACTCAGCACACCAGGTCAGTGCTGAGCCAGGCTCAGCCCCCCACCACTGGCTTCTGAGACCACACGCTGCTCAAGGTGGGCTTAACACAAAAGCTGTTCTGTGTCAGCCAAGAGCTTCCTCAGCCCTCTGCTCGCTGTAATCAGCCTGGAAGGCTGGACAGTTCCTGCACTAACACCCACTCTTGTGTTGGGAGATTTTAAGTTAAAAGCTCCCTTGCAAAGACAGCTAACACAAGATACCAAACCCTCTTCATCTGGTCACTGGGTTGGAGAGGCTACTGACCACTTTACAGATCCTGGGCCAGAGTTATTTACCTCAGCAGAACCCCAGAAGAAAACAAGTACATTTCTGTCCTTCCTTCACCACCTACACTAAAGAAAACTGCAGCTCAGCCTGTTTGATGCGAGTACCAGACATAATAGGAACTGAACTCCTTGCACCACGCGAGCAGAGGAGTTCAGCTACCAGAGCAGCAGCTGCATTTCCTTGGGGAGCAAGAACCCTCCTTCCCTTCTCTCACAGATTCAGCTTATGAAGCATTTTGACATCGTTCAGTCTGTATAGTGCTGCACAAACACAGCTTTCAGATATTCTACTAGTTAAACAAACACTTCCAAACAGGATTTGAAGGCCAACACAAGTACTTGAAGCTTCATGGCTAGCCCATCAGGAACAGTCAATGTTTGCCCCAGCTGGCTGTGAAATCCACTTGGCTAACACTCCTGCTGTGGTCACAAACTAACCTGCTCATGAACTGCTTAGTCATCAGCCCCATTCCACGGAAGTCTGTAATTTGTATCTTTGGGCTGTTTGCTGCTATTAACTTGTCAGGTCATGCATGTCTAATGGAGGGAGTGTGCCTTCATAATTTCTTGATCGCTCTAATTCAACTCCAGTTATTAGAAAGTTTCATTACATCTCAGAGTTAAATCTAGCAGTGATTTATGGATTTCCTGCAGCTCATCTCTTTCTGGGTGATTAATAGGCTTCCTTTAAGCTTTATTCCAGCTAGACACAAGAATAGCAGGAAAATCCATCTTAGAGGGACAGGAGGATTTTGTGTGTGTCTGTTAGTGTTTCTTTAAAAACACCATTCCTTCTCCTTACCTCCTTCTCTACCACATCTCCTTGCATCTCCACATCCACCACCTCCTCTCCTTGCAAAGCTAATAAGCCAGGTTTCCACCAAGCTTTAGCAGAAAGAACAAAGACTAGGTCTGCCAAAGCGAGAGCCACGGTAACAGACCAATGATGCTGGCATCTTGACTTGTAGAGGAAACAAAGCAGGAGCCATCTGTGCCTGCTGGCGTGACTCAGCAGGACCTGCCTTTCACTCCAATGGGGCAGGACCAGCAAGTTTACTTTCAGGGTGGGATTTTTTTTGTTGTTGTTTTTTCAACAGCACTGTGCTCACTATAGATTTCGTCAGGAGAAGCGACTTAACATTTCTGTACAGCAAATCTGAGTCGCCACAACAGAAAGTTAAAGTGTTTGAAGGATGAGGCCATCAGCTGACAGATGCTGGCAGCTCAGTTACTGCTACAACAGCTGGCTTTGAGCTCCAGTCAGGGACCTGGTGTCCCAAATGATCCTGGGGAAAAAAAAAGATTTACCGAGTCAGTCCTTCTTCCCAGGAACTAGAGGGACATTTCAGGAGTGCTCCATGGCCTGTTGCACAGGACAGCTCTGTCCCATTAAGTTTATAGAATGTCCTTGGAAGAAAGGATGCTGAAATCCTGAGACTAGCTCTAGTGACCCGAGGCTCCCTCCTGTTCCCCAGGTACTGCTGCTATCATCTCTGTGTGATGTGCTATGGCAAGATCTGGGTCTGGGGGCTTCATAAAAGCAATGAACATAAGTCAAGGCAAAATATGCTAGAGTTACCTGAGATATCCACTTCTGTCATACGTAAGTAGATGGATTAAGTCAACTAATTGTCTCTTTCAGATGACATATTCCTTTTTCAGCTTGCCAATTTCCTTGATCTGGGCATAATCTGAGCAGTTGCTTTTTAACCCAAAATTCCCAGTTACCAGAATCCATTTTTTGCATTTGAGCGCCTCAAACCGAGGTACATGCAAGAGACAGGTCAGCTCTTCTCTTTGCTACAGAAGGAAGCACTGCTTTCCAGCTAGAGGAAAGGCCAAAACTCAAGACACCTGTGAGAGAGAAATTAAAATAATCTCCTCCTACAACACCAAACCAAGGCTTGCCCCATTCCAGCCAAGCACAACAACTGATAGCCTTCTCCACCTGACTGCAGACACACGGGCCGGAAAGGCTGGCGTGCAGGTGTGGATATTTGCTGACACCCAGCAGTATTTTATGAATTCGGGCAAAGTTCTTCCTGCTCTGTACTCTTACATTTTGCCCTTTCCCCCATGCGCATATTTCTCCTGTGACATCAATGGGAGGAGGATCCTGCAGGATCACACATAGCAATGGTGAAGGAGAGCCTTTCCCAGAACCATTATCAGATGATTTATACCAAACATAGAACCTGGGAGAGGTAGTTACATTTTTATTCCTTCGCTGTTCATTAAGCAGATACTCTACAGGGTACAAGGTAACAATAATGAGATGGTGGATACCCATGTGTGCCTCGCAGGAATGTGAGTGCCACACTCATTGCTACAGCACGTGCATGCAGGTATTCCTGTAAGGTCAATGCTGACAGCAGCCACTATTCCTGGAACAGGAATAATGCTGCTGTTTACTTGTCTTTCCACGAAGGATGAAAGGAAAATGAGAGACAGAGACCTGCAGCCTTCGCTTCCTGCAGCCTTCAAGAGAGATGACATGCAAGGGCTGGTTATCAGCTCATCCGCTGAAAGCCAGGTAGAGTGAGCAGTTACAGAATGACTGCTGAGGATGAAGGATGCGCACACAGGACACACCTAACTGACAATTAGTCTCTTTGCAAGATTTACACTCATTTTAAAAGGAAATTGTCGGGTTTCTGAGAGGTCATTCATAATTTCAGTTGGCTCTGCCTGTCACCGAGATCCCTCGTCTTGTACTAGTTCATCTGAAGAAGACCCCATGATGCTACTTCACATTTGGCATCTCTGTATTCTCTCTGCCACAGCAGTGGCACCCACGCTTTTCAGGTGGGTTGCACTTCCAAAGCAATGCCAAGCGCAGAGGTGTGCAGGTGACACACACCTGGAGGATCTCAGCCTGTTTTACCTCTATAGACAGACCAAGGTGGATTTTCATCACCTGATTTTAAACATCCAGAGCATGTCTGACTGTCCAAGGCCTTCTTTATGTAGACCAAGCAGGAAACATGGAAGTTAGCCAGTCTGTCCTACTAGCTTTGTAAGCATTGCTACAACCCCCATTTAACTCATTACATTCTGTATCTCTCTGCTGCTAACCTCCCTAGCTAGCCACAGAAATTTGCAGGCCATCTCAGACAAAGCAAGTACCTTTGGCAATAAAGGCTAGGTGGGTGGTTGTGTTTTAGATGAGGATCAAAGAAATATAGAGTTAGCCGGGAAAGCCTTGCAAGCAGCTTACTCTTATTCAAGATTTGGCTGGGCAACTCTAGCCCTCGCTCACAGGAACCACAGCATCTCTAGAGTTCAGGTTATCCACATAAGCTGAGCATTTTTTTCCTGGGAAAGCAAGCATTCAAGATCATTTTAATCAACTCAGAGCACACCCCCCCATCACTGCATTCAGGACACATCATCTAGTTTCTTCTTAACATTTTGGCTAGGATGTACCCGGTGCCTCGTTGCCTGACCATGCCCATCAAGGCAGGTGCCCAACACTCCTCTTCCTGAGATGAGACATACAAGATGTACAGGTTTCTCTTCTCCCCCATGTGAAACGAGATGCTATCAGCCCTTTCCACCCCTCATCCCCTTGTGGCCTACGTATGTTTGGCCTGTTGTCTAAATGGAGGCACCAGATGCGATGGTACTGAGAGAGACAGGCTCAAATAATTTACTCTTAGGGCAACTAGACAGAAGTGTCTACACAAGCTTCTAAAAAGTAGCATCCAGGTTTCCCCATCTCACATTTTGTACCCATGACTTCAGAACTGCCAGCTCAAAGTCATTGATGCCCCAGGCCAGGTCAGAACCGCTCTAAGGCAGTCCTAGGAACCCCAGCCTGTAAGGGAAAAGACTATCCCTTCAAAATTGCTATAGACCCACATGATCATCTTCAGCATTGTGCCAGGACTTACTCTTAAGCAGAGGTAAGGTAGATAATTATTTATTACGTGTGTATAGTCTTCTCAGCACTGCTTCCAGCCCTACAGAGACCTATACACCAGTGATCTTACTCACATGCTACCCATGCTTGGGCCACTCAGCTTTCCACCACATGCGTGGGGGCAGAAATCCCTACACCACAGAATAAGCAGAAATCTGTTATTGTTTCCAGCTAAAGACAACAGTCACTGACACTTTCCACATCTCCAGACTCAGTGACCTTTATGTTCATCCCACTTGCTAGCTCCCGAAACTGCCCAGTGAGTTTGGAGATCTGAGGCCTGCCTTCCCCACCGAGTGGGCATTACAGGGACTGCAAGGCAACCACTGCCAAGGCAAGTTCCACTACAGGAACTCATGGAAAAGGCAAGGCCTGGGCTTGGCTCCATCACTGTCACATCACCATGTTGCTGGCACAGCACTGTGGCTCCTCAGGGGTGAGCGACAGCTCTCTCCCACCACTGCCTTTCTGCTGCGCAGTCGCCAAGCTCATGATAGGCAGGATATGAAGCTGACAATGACTGTCTCTTCTGTTAGGCTTCAGTCCTTCAGCAGGGAACCTCTTGAAGTCTGGTATAACACCAGGTACAGTCTTCCCAGCTACTGCCAGTGGCACTAAGATCTGCTTACACTACTGACCTGGGAGGGAAAGGCAGTAAAATGCTCATACCACTTGTTATGATGCCATCTAGCTATGACTAATCTATCCCTTACTATTACATTTTGTGCCTGCCCCGGAAAGAAATAAATCTGTATACAAATCCATGAAGATCCACCAGTTCCTCCCAGTGCCGGTTTTGTGCAAAGCATGGCTGAGTCACAGGCCAGAAGATGTTTAACCTACTGTCCTAGCAAATAAGATGCTGTGCAGCAGCTGATCCATAAGCTATTATAAAAATGCTGCAGTGGGCTCAGCACATAAGGGAACATCAGTCCCAGAAGAGAAGCCTTGGGAACCGAGTTTCCCCATTGACTGCAATCCTGAGCCCAACATCACGAGTGTGAGGACATGCTTTGTTGCTAAAGCAGCGTGAGAGTGTGCAAGGTCTTAGTCCTGCCTCAAACATCTGCTGCCAACACCGAGTCACCTCACAGGGTCGGCTCTTAGCAGTCACTGCCTGTTGTGCCAGCACCCAGCAGAGGTGTGTGGCAAGGAGCAGTTGTTGCTTCACAGCATACCCAGGCTCTAGGACTCTCAATGCTCTAAGGACACACGTGTTCACTTTGGACTTTGAGGTAGCTTATGTCATGCAGTAGAGTAATGCACTCCCAGCGTGGAGGTGGAGAAATGTCAAGCAGAGGGAGGCAACAACCTGTTTTGTTACCATAAGGAAGTCTCTGCTGCTGTGGGGATTCACCTGCTGAGCTCACTCAGAACATGGCCTGAGTGAAGGCAGCAGGAGAAGACTACAAACAAGACAAGGTGAAAGAGGGCAGATTGCATTGCCTTGAACAGACTGTGCTGCGAGCAGAGTTGGGGAGAAGGGGAACGAACATTCACCTTCACTCAGTCTCAGGGCACACCTGGGCATTGCACGAGTAACAAAACATCCCATAACAGCTCACCACCGAGTAAGGACCTGTACTCCACTGACCAAGTCATACAGCCACCCAAGTACACCCATCCCTGCCTGTGACTTCATCTCAGAAAAGAAAAACACCAGCTTCACCTGAAGGCAAA